ACCTGGAGCTTCAGTTCTCTCCACCCTTCTCCTGGCAGCAAGTGCTATCCCTCAGCCAGTTTCCCACCTGTTAAGATGGGAGTTACCAGAGTGCTGCCCCACTGCCTGGGAAGAAGCCAGGGGGAGGTTGGTGTAGGCAGGGTCTGACACGCAGGAGCTTCCACAATCATCAACACCAGGCAAAGCCTGTCTTCCCTTTGTGGAGCGGCAGAGGGACCTCAGGTTCCCCGGTAGAAAGGCTGAAGCTTTCACACAGGTGTAGGGTCAGGGGCCAGAACCAGGCTTCCTTTAAGACCCACCTCCCTTGCTAAGCTACGGAGCCCTGGCTGCCAGGGAAACACAAGCTCTTGCCACTCTTTGCATTTAGAAAGTCACTAAAGCTGGACAGGCAGGATTACCCCTGGCCGTCGGCACGCTCCACACCGGTGACTCACTTCCGCAGCGTTCAGCCCAGGGCAGAGGGGAGCTCCCAGGAGGAGTGCAGGCCCGCAGGCAACCAGGGGTCACCAGGGCCTGGTCTCGGGTTCCTGGCCTCCCGGCTGCTTCCGGGTCCTGTCACCTGCGGTCCGGCCAGGGTCACCCGGCCGCACGCCGGGCCTCCCTGTCAGGCCCAGAGCAGGTGCCGGGGACTCTCTAAACACCCCGCCATCGCCAAAGGCCCGCGGGGAACACGGAGGCGGCGGCGCGGGTGGCCGCGGGCGCTCCAGCGGCCGCCCCGGAGTGCCTGGCAGGGAGAAGAGGGCACTCAAGGACGGGCCGGCTCCGAGGCCGCCATCGCGGGCCCCACGAGCGACCCGCGCCGCCAGGCCCCGCGCGACCGGCCGCCCGTGGACTCACCTCCGCGCGCCGGCGGCGCCTCCTCCGCGGCCGCGGCCGGGCGGCGCGGGGCCCCCCGGCTCCCCCGAGAGGCACGCGCGCCGTCGCCGCCGGCTAAGCCGCCCCGCCGGCCTCGCGCGCCTCAGCCGCGGAGCGCCAGCCCTCCCGCCAGCCGCCCTGCACCGCCTCCGAGCGTGGCGCCCACAGCGACGTGCGTCAAGTCGCACGCGACGCCACGAGCGCGCCGGGCCGAGCTCCCATAGGGCCGCGCGGCGCGTGAGGCAGGCCGGGAGCTCCGCCCGCGCGCGCTACAGACGCTCTGAGGACCCGGGGTGTGGGGTCCTTTGTGAGTCAGAGACCTGCTTCGCCCTAGTGGGGGTCCGCTGCTGCGGAGCGGGGGTTGGGGGTCGGGCTCGGGCGAGTTCCAGGCGGCTTGGTCCTTTGTTCTCTGCAGCAGGATAGCTGTGAAGGAGGCAGGGAGCAGAAGCTGCAGCCAGCAAGTGTAGCTGAAGGTATCTGAGCCTGCCAGGGACCTTGCAGAATAGGGAGACCAGAAGGATGGCCTACCTGGACCTCGGGAGAGCTGCTGCTTGTGGTCCATTTTTGTAGCAGGATGACGGTGTTTTACCAGTGAGAGAGTGAAGTTTGCTCCATAAAGTCTGAACCCATCACAGTAGGACCTGCAGGTACAAGATCATGCTCCTGGGAGGATATTCATACTTCAGGAGAGCCAGTGAGCCAAAGTTGCGCCATCAGACTCTCCAGATACTTCTCTGGGATACCTGTCCTGATRGGGAGGATGGTGCTTTTGGCAGTCAGGATAGACTCTAGCCTCCTGAGTGCTCTGAGGTGACAGATTTATCTGTCCTGTGATGCTTGTGATAAGGCGGTCACCTCCGTCTATTTGGAATCAATCAGCCCCAGGCTGAGGGTTAGGCAGTCCACACCAGGGCACCCTGAGGTAGGAGATACACCCACCTCAGGCCAACAGGCTGCCTGGTCAGGGAACTAAAGGGCACTAATGGGTACTCTCATGTGACTTGGGCAGGCTCTTGGCTTCCATGTGAGAAGATGGAGTTGTGGGTGGGCTCTCAGTGGCTGTGGGCCCTTTCCCTCCCCAGCCTGTTGGGTACCACCTGGGTGGCTCCCTGGCCAGAGGCTAGCGGCCCAGCCTGCAGAGTAGTATGTGTCTTGCGGCCTCCTAGCCAGAGAAGCAGCTGAAGGAATACCTGATGGTTGAGGTTCCTGTTAGCTCACTGCTTGGTTTCCTGAGCCAGACTGTGGAGGTGAGGGGAGGACAGGCATAAGAACTGTCCTCACATGGGAGAAAGCGCATGAGGAGCAGTCTTGATACTGTTAAGATGTTGGCTGTGCAAGGAGGGACAGAACAGGGTGCATCTCTGGTCATCTGCATTCATCCTGAGTGTTCTGAGGCACTGCCTCATCAGGTTGACTCTGCTCTGTGCTAGTGAAGTCCTGGCCTGAAGACAACTTAGAAAAGGGGACAGACCTGAGCTGCTGCCACAAGACAGCTGATGGAGGACTGGAGGCGGCTATCTGCGGAAGCAACCAGTGTCTTCCCCAGATTAGCATGGGGCCCAATATGTGCAGGCTTCTGGGGTCAGCAGTAGTKAGACCCAGATGCCATCAGAGCCGAGGTTCTTGGGGTGGGCACTCTGTGAGCCTGATGTGAGGGCATGAGAGGTTCTGGTCCCAAGCTCAGATTTGTCCTATCATGACTACCCACTTTGTAGGCCACACAACTGTGTCAAAGAATAAAACCTCACGTAAAGAGAACAGAGTTCTTGGCCCTGGCCAATCCCTGCCCTGTGGGTCTTCAGCAAGTGGATAGGCCTAACCAGTCACTCAAACCTGCTGAGCCTGAGCCATGCCTCTGCTTTTCCATCAAARAGAATGGACCAAGACTTGAAAGACTCAAGCAGGGGCTCTGTGCAGCATTAAGAGCTGACCAGAGACATCCTGACCAGGCCACTGCACAGTTGTGGGGAAGGAGTGGCCCCCATCCTTGCAGGACATGCTGAGGTCTCCTAAAGGACGGAAGGCCTTCTCTCCTCCAGGAACATGCTTCAGGTGAGCTCCCAGTGGACCTGGGCCTGCTCCTGCCCACCTGCAGGCCCTTCTCAGCAGCGGTCTCTGGGAACCTCATTTAACAATGGCTCTTATACCCACCTTCCCCACCATGTTCCAAGCGAGTGCTTGTCTTCTTTGAGCTGGACACTCCAGAGGGCCAGCACAGCAATCCCAGTGACTCTTTGTGGGGCCAACTGGACTGTGAACATGGAACTAAGAAGCTGCCAGCCCATGGTGGAGAGGCTCCTGCTCCTAGCTTTCAGGTAGATTGGGGCCCTGCTTTATCAGGCAGATCCCATGGGCAGCCCAGATAGATGGGAGGGCAGACCATACCCCTGCAGGCAGAAACTCAGCCTCTGATGTGTCCATGATCCCAAATTTCTATTTCAGTTCTACCCAAGTGTCCAGGAGTCCTGGGCCAGAGGCTCTGGTACTTGGAGCCCCCCTGTTCACTCTCCCCACTGAAGGCCAGGTTATATCCCTTTTAGTTACCAGCTCTGGGGAGTGGAAGCTGAGCAGTCAGCAGAACCCAGTGGGGCATGTAGATTAGTGGTTGAGGGCTTGCCTTGCATGTATTAGGCTTGAGTTTGACCCAAAAGAAAAAAAAAAAAAGGATAAATTCTTATAATGCTTAAGATAACTCAAGAATTTTAACATTCTTGGGGTAGTAATTACAAATCAGTCCTCAGCCTCTCTGAGCCTCAGTTTCTCCATCTGTGTCTGACCAGTGGGCAAGTAGGCAGATCAGTGTGTGGGTGGTGGAGATTTGCAGGTGTGCCATTTGCTGCTCCAGGGACACCTAGGTTGGGTAGGTGTTTCAAGGGGATATCAGACATGACTGCCTTCCAATCAGACATAGCACTTATCCTCAGAACTCTTGGGAGTCCATCCTGGGGCCACAACCTTCAATGTTCTTTGCCTTGGGGTGTTCCTCTCACCACCTGGCATGGCCCTACCCTTTGTTGATCCCTGACAGGCTGCATCTCAGGGATAGGGACACTATGAGACTTGCAATTCAGTGGGGTGTGATACCAGTCTGTGCCTAGAAGGCTTGTTCCTGGAGGGGAACTAAGAATTTGAACCATGGGGAGGGCAAGGAATAGGTCCCTTCCCTCCTCCCCAGTCTTCAGGTAGGGTCTGAAGCAGATTGACCATGGTTGTGAAGATGGTCATGTGTGCAGAAAGCATCTGCAGAAACCCACACTTAGATGGTTCTCTGTTTATAGGCACACGAATAATAAAAATGTCCAAACCCGGTGCTGGGGATGTGGCTCACGCAGTAACGCGCTTGCCTGGCATGCGCGGGGCGCTGGGTTCGATCCTCAGCACCACATAAAAATTAAAAAATAAAGATGTTGTGTCCACCGAAAACTGAAAAATAAATATTGAAAAAATTCTCTCTTAAAAAAAAAAAAATGTCCAAATCCTCTCCGTGGAGCCCTCCAAATTCCTTCTTCGGAATAATAAGGAATATGCTGGGGCCTTCACCAGCCTAGGGTTTGAAGAGGCCTAGTGTGGCCTCAGGGGAGGCTTGGGCTGCACTCAGCCCACATCTTACCTGGATAGTAGCTGGAGAAAATAGCCTGGGGCCTGTCCTACCACACCCGCCCCTGAGGCAGGGCACTTTTCTAGGGTGAGTTAAAGATCCAGACCCTACCCACAATGGCTGAGTCCTGGGGGTGGCCCAGCCTGGAGGCCTTGTTGTCCTGGAGCATTAGGTAAGGGGAAGGGCTTGGCCAAGCTGCAGAGTCAAGATTTTGTGAGGTCTGACCAATGTCCCCAGATACCTGGGGGAAGTCAGGGCCTGGCCCAGGGACACCCCAGCCCACCACCTGCTGGAGGACAGAGTTTGTGTGTATGGTAACAGCTTTAATCTGTGGTGGCTTGACAAATCGGGCAAGACCCTCCTGGTCTCCCACCCTCCTGCTTCCTGGCAGGAAGAGCCATTTCTCTGGGGAACAGAAGCAGCGTGCAGGTTGGTTGGTGTGTCTTCTGGAAGCTTGTCTGCGGCCCCAGCACTGCTGGTGGCCAGCAGGACAGGCCACGGTCATGTCAGGGCTAGGACCTGGGCACAGAGAGGCAGGCTCCAGTACTTATATATTATACATACATATATATATATATTTTATGTGTATACACAGATAGTTTTCTCTCTGTAAAGTATTAAAAAATTGATCAACCTTCAATCTATAAAAAATACCTACTCTACATGATAGAAAAATCTCTCCTCCAAGTTTACATTGATTTACACCCGAGGCTTTCCCCAAAACTGTACAACACAGGGCCACACAAGCTCTAGTGTGGAGGGCCACGTGGAGGCGCAGGGCTGCAGGTGCACAAGGCACGCACTCACTTCCACAGGCTATGGGCCAGCAGCTTGCAAGGAGCCACTGCTCAAGTCGTGGAAAAGCCTGCTTCCCTGCCCTCCTGCACCCTCAGGAAGAACAGCGATTTTAAGTCAGAGCCATGAGGTTTTTGGACCGGGGCCCAAAAAATCTGACTTCACCCAAGGCGATGGCAGTCCGCCTAGGGAGGACTGCTCCAGGAGGCCAAGGCAGGCCACACCCAGAGAAGTGGCCCCTGCACCTGGGAGTCAGGACAGGACTGTCCACCATCCATGCAATGAGTTCCAGAGTCGGGATCCCAAGTCCTGACTTCAGAGCAAAGAGTCTCAGTGGGCTCCTGCCCCAGTCTTGGCATAAGAGTCAAGAGTCCCTGAGGGCTACTGCAGCAAGGGTCAGGCCATGGGATGGCTGCACAGCTTGGAGGCCCTTGGGCCTAAAGCTGGATCGAGGTGGCATTTGGCTGGGTGATGTCCTGAGCAGTTGGGGAGGAGAGCACTAGGGKCCTGTGGCTCATAGCCAGACCCTGCACGTGTCAGCCTCACCCACCTGTCCTTCCCACACCACCATGTCCCATACAGGGAGTCCATCTGGAGCAACCAGGATTGGATGTGTCAGGGTGCTTGTGTGGCTGTCATAGCCCTGGTGGGAAGAGGGGTCTGTCATGAGGAAGTCAGAGGGACTTGCCCCAGCCTGAGACTGCCATGACACTGCACAGAGGCTGAGAGGCCCTGCCCCCTCCCTGTCCACTGTGGACTACACGCTGGGGGCTCTCCTTCTCCCTCCTTGGTACTGCTGTGCACCCTCTGTAGCCCCACTGCCTGGGCGTAGCTCCTCAAGGTGTGAGGGGCTCTCTGGGTGCTGGTGGAGGACTGAGCAGCCAGGCTGGTCTTGGAGGGACTACTTGACCTCCAAGATGGACGGGTTGGTCTCCATGATGGCCACGATGATCCTGTCGATGTAGTCCTGCAGGCGGAGGTTGATCTCCTCTTGCCTCTGGACAGCCTCCATGAGCTGTGGGGAGAGCACAAGTCAGCATGGGACGTGCAGACCATGGGCACGGGTAGGCAGGGCCCTTACCTCGTCACGGGACACCGAGCTGATCTCCGCAGCAAGGGACTCAGAGAAGGCTGTGGAAAAGAGGCTCCGGGCACCCTGGATGCTGAGGGTGATGATCTGCCCGTTGAGCTCCTCGTTCTGCTCCTTCAGGTTGCRGTTATCCTGGGGACACAGCAGCGTCACATGTGGCCCTGGCCCCTGCTGGGGGCTGGGCTAAGACAGGGACCCGAGCTCAGCAGCCTTCCAAAAGCTTCCAGGCAGGGTGGGCGGGAGTCCAAGCCATACCTGCTTGAGCCTTCGGACCTCCTGTTCCAGCTCGCTCTCCCTGGTGCGGCTGTTGTACTCCTGCAGGCCCAGACTGCTACTGCGGCCCCGTCTCTGCTCAGCCTCCAGCCTAAGGAGCTGTAGATGCTCCAGCTGCTTGCGCAGGTCCTCTATCAGCTATAAGGCAATCGTGGGCACAGGTTAGCAGCTGAAAGCCATGCATGGGGAGCACACCACATGTGACAGGGCAGGTGGGGAAAGGGACAGTGGCTCTGTTCACCTCCTGGGTTGCCTCCTTGTCTCTCTGGAACTGGTGCCGCTCATGGCTAAGTCTGTCCCCCATCTTCCTCTTGCTCTCCTGCTCTTCACTGAGCTGCAGCGTCAACCCTTCGATCTCATCCAGCAACTTCTGCTTCTCCTATGAAAACAGGCACCATTCATGTGCATGAAGAGCCCACCCCAGACCCGCTCCCAATCCACCCCAGCATAGTGGCCCTAGGATCAATTTCTGCAGAGCTGTGCCTAAGCCTTCAAGGCTGTCCTACCTTAGGGCCAAGGCACACACAGGCCACAATGGCAACTTATCAAGAGGCAGGGTGAGAARGACCTTTGTATAGATGGGACCTAAACCATGGCTGTGGGAAGCTCTATCCTGGCACCTCTGGTTCATGCAAGCCAGAGCCCAAGTGATCCTGGAACATCCTCTGGTTTCAGAGCTTTCCAGAGGGCACTCAAGGAGGAAAGACAGGAGGGGAGCTGTGACACAGACACAGATCTCACCTCTGCCTGCATATCTAAGGAGGAGGGGCATCCCTTCACTCAGATCCTTGGGAATCTGTGGACCCCAGGGATCTGAGTCCATGGGAAAGCTGGAGGCCAGGTAAGGTCCAGTGTCTTCCAGAAAAGGGCAGCTCCTCACACAGAACAGGCCAGGTGCTGTCACTCCACAATTGGCAGCAGCTCCCCACTCTAGAGGCCCTGACAGTACATCCTGGCTCCCCTGCTGGTGTCAAGAGCAGAGGGCASAGGGGCAGCTGGAGTAGGGTGGGGCCTGGACCCCCAGCTACAGTCGGACTGGGGGCTCACCTCTTCTAGACGCTCAATGTTGGCCTTCAGGCAGGGCGTGCAGGACCGCAGCTCACCATTCTCCTCATCCAGCTGCTGCAGCCTGGAGYGTAACAACAGCTTGGACCACTCTCCTGAAAATATACCTCTAAGGGCAGGGAGGGCCCAGTATCTGGAGGAATCATCCTAGGGGCAGTGGCCAGTCTTGACCCCACATGAATACTCAAGGCTGAAGCTTCTCTGTAGCCCACAAATGCTTCTAAATACTGGGTTTGGAACACTAGGTTCACAGAGAGTTTCAAACAAAATTAGTGTCCGAAGGGCCTGCTTGCTCCCTTTCCTTCCTGCTGCCACTGCTCATCCTGGGGTACCTTCATCATGGCCCACACTCAGCTGGGCCGTTCTTTCTTTCCCTTTTTTTTTTTGGGGGGGGGGTATCAAGGGTTGAACCCAGGGTCCTTAGTCACTAAAAGCCATGTTCCCAACCCTTTTTTATATTTTATTTAAAGACAGGGTCTTGCTGGAGTTGTTTGAGACCTTGCTAAGTTGCTGAGGCTGGCTTTGAACTCAGGATCCTCCTAACTCAGCCTCCTGAGCTGCTGGGATTACAGGCATGTGCCACCATGCCCGTCTGAGCCATACTTTCAACAAAACCACACATGCTATGGATTTCCCACCAAAGCCCAGAACCCCATCCAAGGACTCCCATGGCATCAGTCCTCATGTCTTATTAGTCCCCTGGTCTGAGTCTCCCTGACTCCCCTGCTTTCTCATGACCCTGACAGTGTGCAGCAGTCCCAGCACATCCCTCATGTTGGGTCTCTCTGATGTTTGGTTGGTTCTGTCTAATGTTTTCTGGGGCAATGGATTTGGGAAGACAAGACCCATTCACCATGTAGAGCCCATCTTGTCATACAATTCCTGACACTCACACGGGTCACTTGGTTAAGGTACGGCTGCTGGGTGTCCCCTCTGCCAGGCTGCTGCTTCCTGCCCACTCTGTTTTAGAGAACCAGTCCCTGAGTGGAGGCCCAGAGTAGGAGGGACCCACACCACCTCCAGGAAGGAGTGTCTAGGGAAACTCTCTAGAATCCTCTGAAATGAGGGCTGTGTCTTCTCAGATGTTTTTATCAACTGATCGTCTATGCACCATGCTGCACTGCCAGCTGTGCTGCTCAGGTGGCTCAGTTCTGGCCACTGGGAGATCTTTCAGTTGGCCTAGTGTGCCTCTGACATCACCGATCAGTGGGTGCATGCATGTGCCAAGTCAGTTACCTGCTGGCTCCCGTTTGCAGTATTTGTAAATGTACCAGTAATGACACTGTAAATTCCAAGTGTACACAGAAACAATCCTGTCCATTTCCTTTAACAAAAGACAGGTTTGTCTCTGTTGCCCAGGCTAGCCTGGAGCTTGAGATCTCCCTGCCTTGACTTCCCCAAATTCCTGGGATTCTGGCTGGGGTGTGTGTTACAGGGATCTGTGAGTGGGACAGGTCTATAGAAGCTGACATGCTGCAGTCTCTGGATGCATGTTGGAGGCTTTAGAAGAGTTCTAAGGTTCTCCTCTCAGGCTCCCTGTACTCTACAACTAAACTTCTCTGGATCCCTTCCCCTTTCAGGTTGGTGGGTTTCTCTGCTCTGGATGCCTCACCTACCTGGCCTGTAGGTTCTCAATTTCGATGCTCTTCTCTCGCTCCATTCTGCACAGGAGCTCCTTCTGCTTCCGGGCCTCTTCCAGGACCATCTGCTGGGCTCTGAGCTCCTGTTCCTTCAACTGCTCCTCTAGGGCGTTGGCTCTGAATGCAAAGGGGAAGAGACAGTATTTTTCAGACCTCCCAGGTGCCTGTTCCCAGGGCACTGTCCTAACCCTGGCATCTGCTTGCCCTGTAGATCTGATACATGAGGCCTGGGGGAGGGGCCAGAAAGCACCAGAGTCCAAGGGCCACAGCATTCTGCAGCAAATGGACATAATGGCTGAGCACAGACTCCAACAGGGTGAGCATGGGTTCTCACTGCAGCATGGTCAGCTCATGGTGAGATCCACACCACATTCGGCCAGGTCCAGGACTCGGTGCTGGACACACCTGGTACAGAGGTTACAGAGGGGACACAGCTAGAAGGAGTCGCCTCTGGGCTAATCTGGAGACCAGCCCTTTGCAGGTCTTGAGACCTGGCTCCTTCCATGACCACCTTCAGGACAGGTTGGTCATCTTAGGGAAGCACCAGAGGCCCTGCCCATGCACAGTAAGGCCCATAGCCCCAGTCCTGTCACTTGCTTCTCTGATTCTCTTTGGTGGGTGAGAGTGAAGATAGCAAAGGAAGCTTTGGAATATACAAAGAACCAGGTCCCACGGTGGCCAGTCCCAGGCCAAATGCTCTAAGAAAAACCAGAGGTCTGCTGTAGGAGGAGTGGATAAACCTAACTCTTAGAAACTAAAAACAGGGCTGAGGGACCTGGGTTCAATCCCCAGCCCCACTCAGAAAAGGAATAAAAAGAAAATCAAAACAGGAAAAAGTTTTAAACTCAACAGAAGAGTTGAGGAAGAAAACCTGAAGATAATACAAAGGAAAAAATGCACAGAAAAACAAAGTCTGAAATTAGGAAAATGAAGAGGATATTATCATTGAGAGAAAGAAATGAGAAAGAGATGATATGGAAAGAATTCTTGAAGTCCCCAGAAGCTGACAGACACACTGTCCAGAGGCAAAGGCTGAAAACCAGCACAGGTCAGCCAGCTCTGGAGCCAACTGAGCTACAGGAGAACTTGGCTTCCCAGCAGCCTGAGTAGGCAGCTCCCAGGAATCATCATCCTCAGAAGCAAGTAGCACAAGTGGGACCAGAAGTCAAGGAGTAAACAGTGAGCACTGGAGACACAGCAGGATGTGAAACGCCAAGGGCAACCTGCACAGGTGCAGGGAGGACCGAGAAAAGGGGCACAGAATAGAAAAAGCTGCCCGGGCACAATGCTCCCAGGTCTGAGTACTCAGAGACCCCAGAAGGCAGGCGCCCTATACCAGAAAGGGGGCCTCACTATTACCAGGGTGGATGTGAGAGGGTACCCTGGTTCAGGGGGTGGGCAAGTAGAAAGGGTCTCCAGGGAAGGCTCAGGATGCACCCTCTCAGAGACGCCACACACCTGAGGCCCCCATTCCCTTCTGCAGCAGTGCTGGCTGGCACTCCACATGGCAGCATGTTCCTGTGCTGTGATAGAAGGCAAGTCCTGACTCAGTGCTCCTGAACAGCAGCAGTCTTTTTTTTTAAATATATATTTTTTTAGTTGTAGATGGACACAATACCTTTATTTTGTTTATTTTTATGTAGTGATGGGGATTGAACCCAGTGCCTCACACATGCTAGGCAAGCACTCTACAACTGAGCCACAACCTAACCCACAGCAGCAGCTTTGAGTTTCTACCTTGCGTGAGTTGTCCTTAGGGAGGGCCTGGGTTACAACATGAGTCCACTGTTCCCTCATGATTACTTGGATCAAGTGGTTTATGAGGAAACAGGCTCAGAGGGATAGAGTTCTAGCCTGGGGCTCAAGTACAGCTGTGGTTGGAAGCCTGGTAATGGGGTGGCTCAAAGAATCTCTCCCATGGGCCCACAAGAGCCTCTCGGGACACCCTCTTGGGCTCCTGCCCCATCCTGACTGGCTGTACGTCACATCCATTTGCTTTCCTGCTACTGAGCAACAGCTACAGCCACAGTCTTCTAGAGGGAAACTATGTCCAGCAAGATGCCCCTGACCTCCTCCAGCACATACTGTGTCCAAGCCCCAGAGACTACCTGCTATCTCTGAGGCCCTGGCAAATTTGAACTCTCAGCTTCAGGGTTCTTATCTGTGAAAGGAAGATACATCTGCCTTTGGTGAGTGTGAGGGTGAGCGAGGGCCTGCAGAGGATGTGGGCTGCACAGTGACCAGGAGCTACAGGCTCCATGCAYTGACCAATGCTATGATGGGAATACTTCAAGTGAGTTTCCAGAAACGGGATCTTAAATTGTGGGGAGCAAGCCACTCTGAATGATTTGTGCCTTCCATCCTGGAGCAGAGAGGCTTTGACCAGTCACTACATCTTGTGGTAACCTGGACATTGCCCCGGTCCAGGAAGTTGAGGGTGTGTCTTCAGACATAGGCAGGTCACCCCTGGAATTGAGCTACACTCATCTATTCCTTTGTAATACTACTCCTTTGCCCTGTTTGGGATAGAATGTTCCATGGAAGCTCCCTTTGTGTGTCCCCCTTCTCTTACTCTGCCTTTGGGTATGGCCTTCCTAGATGTCAGTCAACTTGCTAACAGCAGATATCACAAAGCTAGACTCAACCCCCTGAAACCTGACCCCTTGCTTCATTTGAATGGCTTCTCAATAAAAGGGTTCAGCTCGTGCTCTCTCTCTCTCTTTCTGCAGACCCTTAAGGTCAGAGGAGACATCACAGAACCCCAAAGAAAAATCTCTGTCTCTTGTGTGATTACTTCGTGCAGCCAAGTTCATCTGGAATGACCCTGAGTGTTTTAGTCGTGAGGAACGTGACACCATATTGACAGCCCACTGGCTATAGGTTGACCCTGAGCCAGCCTCCAAGTTCTCCAGAAAACTGACCTAGAAAGGCTCTGGGTAAAATCCACCATGAAAAGATATATCTCTGTGGGTTTGTTTTGGAACTGGAGATAGAACCCAGGGCCTCAAGYGGGCAAAACATCTACTCTACTCTGTGTTGAGCCATGTCCTGGGCCTATTCTGGTGTTTGTTATTGTTGTTTTGCAGTACTGGGAATTGAACCCAGGAATACTCTACCACTGAGATATGACCCTAGCTCTTTTTGAGACAGGGTTTTATTAAGTTGTTGAGGCTAGTTTCCAACGTGTGATACTCCTGCCTCAGCCTTCCAAATCACTGGGATTATAGGTATGCAATACTGTGTCTAGCCTTCCTTATGATTTTTTGGGGAGTACTAGAGATTGAAAACAGGAGAACTCCACAATTAAGCAACATCTCCAGTCCTTTTTATTTTTTATTTTGAGACAGGGCCTTGCAAAGTTGCTGAATTTGTGATCCTCCAAGCTTTTAACTTGCAATCCTCCTGCCTCAGCCTCCTAAACTGCTGGAATTACAGGAGTGTGCCACCATACCTGGCCCCTCCTTAGGATTTTAAACTGTGCTCTCTACCTCTAACTGCTCCCCACTAAGCATCACATCCTAGGTCCCTTGATCCTAGGATGCCCTGTGTGTCGAGGCCCTGGACACCTGCTACAGATCACTCAACAGAGCTTCAGGCCAGCAAGTCATGGCCCTTGACCCATGCACAGGTGCCCATCCAGCAACTCCAGGGATACCTTTTGAGGCAGAGAAAGTATGGGTAGGGAGCAGAGGGGGCTGCAGGAAGACTCACCTATGCACCAGATGTAGGTTCTCCTGCCGAAGCCGACCATGCTGCTCTCCGGCTGCAGCACTGTCCTTCTCCAGCTCTGACACCCGCCTCTCCAGAAAGACAACCTGGATAACAAAATGATGGCTTGAGGAGCAAGCAGAGGCAGAAGAACTGCACCAGGGGACAGGCTGGGGCAGCACAGGACTTCCACATCTGTTTATCCACTGGACTTGGGTCTACCTGATTCCTGGAGACTGCTCCATAATCACCACAGTGCAGATCCCCCTAGGGCCACGCTCACCTCCATAGCACAAGGACACAGGTCATCATCAGGGGTCCAATGCTTCGGAGCCCTGAGAGCACCCTTCTAAATGGCACATGGGATAGCAAGGCTCAGCTCCCTCTACAAGTGGGGGTCCCTGCTCTGCTAGATATAGCCTATGGAGGAGGTCTGGGTGCCTGGGGACAGAAAGACCCATTTCTTTTTTTTTTTTTTAACTGGGGATTGAACTCAGGGGCACTGGACCACTGAGCCACATCCCCAGCACTACTTTGTATTTTATTTAGAGACAGTGTCTCACTGAGTTGCTTAGCGCGCCACCATTGCTGAGGCTGGCTTTGAACTCGTGATCCTCCTGCCTCAGTCTCGCGAGCTGCTGGGATTACAGATGTGTACTATCAAATCCAGCAGCAAGGCCTATTTCTGAAGCCCTCTGTCCCTCAGGGAGCTCACATGATGGGAGATAACACACATGCACAGGTAGGAGAAGGAATGAAGGTAAGCAGAGGAAGGACTCACAGAAAGGTGCAGAGCTGAAGAGGTGGAGCTGCCATGGAGAAGGGCTACAGAGTCAGGGGGCATGCACAGGACCTGAGGTAGGGTGCAGAGAAGGTTAAGAGGTATGAAGAGGCAGGGAATATGCAGAGGAGCCAGGAAACACACAGAGGTGGTGAGTTGGAGTGCAGAAGGTGAGGTGTGGTACAGAGGAGATGAAGAGCGGTGCAGAAGAGGCAGGGAACATGCAGAGGAGGTGAGGTCAGGTATAGGAGATGAAGTGGGGTGCAGAGGAGGTGAAGAGGGGTGCAGAAGAGTCAGGGAACATGCAGAGGAGGCAAGATCAGGTGCAGGAGATGGCATGCAGAGGAGAAGAAGTCAGGTGCAAGAGGCAGGGTACAGTACGTAGCAGCTGCCACCTGCCTGAGATTCATACTGGCCTTGGAACCAGGGGCCTTGACCATGGTGAAGCTCCCTGCTCTGCTTGTTCTACTCCACTCTAGGAGAGACCCTTGGGGAAAACAGCCTACTCCTGGTACTGCTGGCTGTGCTTCTCCTCCTGATCCCTGAGCACCCTTGGCCCTGCCTCTACATGCTTGATGAACTGAAACTGTGCGTCCCTTAATGCTACTCCCCCAAACTGACCCACACACGTCCACACAGGCACCTGTGTGCTGCCTGAGACATGGGCACGAAGGTGAATGGCTTCTGCTGCTCAGTCCCACTCTCTTCGGCTCCACCCATGAACCATCAAAAGCTCTACTTTTACCCCATGGCCACTAAACCCCTGAGGGAACTTACTACTCACCTATTCCTGGTCCTTAGCCCCCAGTGCCCAAGACCCACCTTGTCAGCAATGTCTTCCTCTGGACCCTCCACAGGCTCTGGGGGAGGGTCCTCTAAAGCTTCCATGGTCAGGGCCCCCGACTGGTGCAGGTACCTATGGAAAAGAATCAATAGCAGAGGAAAGAAGAGGGAAAACCAAATGACAAGCTCTTCAAACACAAGCACCTGCGTGTCCCTCCGAAAGGCAGACAGCATAGTGGGCACAAGCCTCCCCACCCTGGAGCGGCAGGCTCCTGGCCTAGCACTGAGCTAGGGGCTCCCGGCTGTGGCCTTTACCGAAGGGCCAGGAGTGAGCAGGCTGCACTCAGTGGCCTCTGTCCTCCCAGCACTCTCTGGAGCCTGATAGAACAGGACCTCCACGGCAGCTAACGGGAGCAGAGTACTTTGTACTTGGGTGCAATAAAACCTGACGTCACCCACACCAGGACAGGAAGCACGCTTGCCTTGAGCAGGCTGGCAGACACTGACTCTGGCCCTGGGCTCCAGCATGGGCACTGTTGCTCAAGGTTCTCCCTGCAGCAGTGGCAGTGAGGGGTCCCAAGGAAAGGCATGGGTCCTGGGGGTCTTGCTCAGCCTCACCTGGGTCCAGTCATGCCCACAGGTGTTGCCCCACCCATGGCTGGGAGACACCTGACTTTGTTGTCCTCACACCAGGCTGGTGAATCTGAAAATGCTAGTTCAGTAAGAGTCCACATAGTTCTCAGAGCTGTGCAGACAGAGAGCCTCGTGTSCATGTCCTTCCACACCCTGGACCCTCAGCACTGAGCCAGGCTCAGAGCTGTGTGACCTTGAGAGAGTGCTCAGTCTCCATGAGCCTCTCTCTCCTGGGAAATGGGGATCTTTAGGCATCGTTCAGATGTGCTTGAGGCCATGTTTACCAACAACTGCACTACAGATCCAACTGAACACTCAGAGCCATCACACTAAACCCTACATCAGCTTATCAGCAATGGAGTTCTGCTTCCTCTTCAGCATTGACTGGGCCTGCACACTTCTCTCTTTCCCAATAAATAGTTTGGGAGGTGAGGGACACTGCCAGGTTACAGAGCCACCACTGGCTRCACAGAATCTATCACTTCAGCTAGAATGTACATGCAAAAGACTGAAAACTGCAAAGTAAATCACAACTTTCCTGCACTTCCCAAGGATCTGAAGGCCCAGGGCTCAGGAAGCTGAGGCAGGAGTGGGCTGAGCTGGAGGCCAGCCAGGGGAACCTGGTGAGACCCTGCCTCAAAATTAAAACAAAACGGGCTGGGAGGCATCTCAGTGATAGAGTGCATGCAATTTATATGCAGACAGACTCACTGCAGAATGGTGTGCCTCTCTGCAGGTAAACTCTAACTGCCAATACCTGTAAGCAGGGCTATTTTACAACAAAGAATGTCTATAGAGGAAGAGTAAGTTCTTGGAAAGATGTAAGAGTAAGTTCTTTAAAGGATGAAGCCTTTGTGCCCAGTCCTGTCTCCTCTCCAGCTTGCTAAACGCCTCTCTCTGCTTTTCCCAGGACGTGTCCAGGCACAAGGCCCCAAGAGCTGTTGCTAGGCCCAGTTGTGGGAGGTCAACAGGACATGGCTGTGTGGGTCCTCTCTTTCCTCAGTCCTACCAGACACCATGTGTTGGGGACAAAAAGCTCTAATGACAGGGACATTAAGGTGGACATGCTAAAGAATGTGCATCCTAGATTCAGGCTGTGACTGAGAGCCCTAGGTTCTTCGCAACCAGAAAAGGTGGGGTGCAGACCTACACCTCTGCCTGCTCCAGAGCCCAAGCCTCAAGGGCCACAAGAGCTGCAGCATGAAGAGGGAGGCAGGAGGCATGAGCAGCAAGATAGCAAGAACCCAAGGGGAGCAGGCCCATTTCTCTTTGGCTCATTATAATTAGTGGAAATATTAAAGTCATCATAAAATTCTGAACTTCAGAAACAGAGAAACACTGTAGAAGCTTCACGAGAGGGAAAAACTGTCACAAAGAAACAAAAATAAAAACACATTAAACCTCTCTGGAGCAACCCTGGCCCCAGAAGCCAAGCAACAGCTCCCAACTTTCTTTCCTGTCACAGCCAGGGCCCCACATGGGCAGAGCAGAACTACTCCCAAGGGGCTGGGATTTACCTCCTGGCAGCTCTTTTCTCAAGATAACACAGGAAGATGTGCTAGGCAAAAAAAAAAAAATGGAGATAAGGGGAAGGAAGGTGGGGACAGAGCCAGGTGATATGATCCCTGAAACAAAGGAACTTGGGGTATGGGGGAGATGCCCCAGGACCTGGAGATGTCCTGCCTAAATTGGGCAGTGGTGGGAGGGAAACCCTCCGGCCTCCACAAAGGGCTGGCTGTGGAGGCAAGTAAGCAACCTCAGTGTCCTGGGAGGGGTGTCTACACCCCATACTCTGCACAGGGGATCTCAGACCGTCACAGAACTGGCCTGCTAGAACTTTCTACAGTACGAAAGCCAGGAGAGACACTGTAGGAAGGCATGGGCTGGGCAGCAGGCTCTGGGACAACAGGCCTTCACTGGGTCTCTGAGATGATCTGCAGCATACACTGGGGGACTGTAGTGTCCTCCAGCCCAGGCAGGGAGCACACAGTAACAGGGGAACACCCAAAAGTCCTAATCTATACTTCCCAGTCCTGGGCCCAGTCTAATCCATGGTCCTGGACATTCTTTCCACAACACATTCCCTCCACTAACTTCTAGCCCAAACCATGAAGTAATTTATTTTTCTTTTTTTAAAATATATATTTTTTTTAGTTGTAGGTGGACACCATGCCTTTATTTTTATTTATTTTTATGCAGTGCTGAGGATCGAACCCAGTGCCTCACCTGCACTAGGTTAGCACTCTATCACTGAGCCACAACCCCAGCCCCCCCATGAAGAGTAACTGTTAAAAGCTTTTTAAAATGTTTTTTGAAACTAAGATTATCAATGCATTTCACAGTATAGTCAGCAAGCAGTTGAGGTTCTGCCTACCTTGCCACCTTCCTGCTGGACAGCTGCTTGGCTGGGCTGTGCAAAAACCAAACAAACAGGAAAAGTGTCAGGACCAGAGAGAGGAACAGCAGGAAGCAGGAAGCTCAGGCAGAGGAGATAGTGGGTGTAGGCATGCAGCCCCCAGCCCCCTAGCCCTGTCACAGGACACCCATGCAGGACAGCGAGGATGGTGCGGCAGCACCCTCTAGACCCTGATAAGGCAACCAGCCTATAGCTCAGAGCTGGCCAGGGGCCCATGTCTGTCCACAGCACTGGTCAACAGCCTGCCTCAGGCACCTCTGAAGTCAAATGACTGCCCAGAGGCCTGGTCATTAGGCCCATCAGTGGTTCTGACCTAGGCAGCAGCACCCTGGCCCAACGCCTGTGGGCAGGGGCTTAGAGTCCTGGGAGGTGGCCAGTCCCAGGGTGAGTGTCCATCCAATTCAGTGATCCACAGTGGCAAAGGCCAAATGCACCCTCCCTCTGGTTCCTGAAGCCTACAGGGTGACTGCCAGACCGAAGCTCAGGCAAGGAAGATAATTTTCCAGGCAAAGGGGCTGCCCACCTGGCATGGTGGCAGGCGGAGGCCACGCTGCTACAGCCTCTTGAAGAGACCCCCCCCACCCCCAGCCGCCGCCGCAGTCAGTGCTCTGCACACTGACTCAAATTCACCCTCACACTTGCTCTGAAGCTTGTAGGTGGATCCCAGCACACATTTTTGGGTTTCTTATTACATCTTGTCAGCAGCAGAGGGCACTGGAGAGACAGAGTGAGTTCACTAGAACTAGGCTCCTCCTAGTTCCTTAGCATTTGTGCCTCCCAGTGGCCTTCTGGTGGCACTCCTCTGGAGCACATTGTCCAGCAGCCTGGTAGCTAAGTGCTTCTGACAAGACCACTTCGGGGGAACAGCTGTCCTGGTGGTCAGGGTGATTTTCAGCAGGTTCTAGAAGGCAGGCCCCATCAATCCCAGAGAGTGCAGCACCCCTGTGAAGTCTGTGGCCTACATTCCTGTGGGATGGCAGCCCCAGTTACAGGCCCAGACCCCACTCTAAGTGGGCAACAGCTTGCCCTTGGCCTCTGGTGGCAGCTGCCTGCAGCCCTGCTTAGAGCTCTCTGGCCACACAGCCACACGGCTCAGCACTACATTGCCCGGCTCAGCATTACACTGCCCGTTCGAGGCACCACGTGGCTCCTCTCCTGACTGGGCCCTGCTGGCGTTGGGCAATCCTAGCATCCCTGACACTCTCTGACAACAGGCCAGGGTGGACTGCTCAGGCTACCCAGCAACCCTCAGAGCTGAACAGGCAGTCAGCAACAGAGGTCATGATTTAAACACACCCCTGGATAAGGAAGACTTGTTTCTACAAAAGGGATGGTTTTCTCAGACTTCCTGGTACTAGGAAAATGCACAGGAATTGGCAGACATTGTCCACACCTCTGGTGTGGCCTCAGCAGCTTGACATGCCTTCACTGCAGGGTGGTCCGCAGGACAAGAAGCAGGGCTTTCTAGCCACGCCAAGAGGTAGCCTAGCCTGTTCTCTGGCCTGCAGGTAACCAGGGCCACCTTCTGGCAGGTCCTTGGCATTGGAACAGATGGCTTCCACGTGGGAATCCTCAGCAAGAGAAAGACAAGACACATTTCCTTTCACAAGAGGCCTGCACACAGATGCATTCTCTGGCAGGGGGCATTTCTGCACAGGAAGAACACCAGCCCTCCCCAACCAAGCCAAGGCTTCTTGGAGAGCTGCACTTCTAGCTGATCACCATGGTGGGTAAGAACTGGGCTCCCCTAAGTAGAGGCCAGTTCCAAACTGCGGACCACTGCAGTCTTCACACAGGTTCCTCAGGAGTGACCCTCAGAGATTGCTCTGCCTTGACGACATTGCCAGGACCCACCTGGCTCCCTGATGCTGCCAATTGACTACAAAGGCTGGGTTACCCCATTCTCTCCAATGTGCCTGGCACTTGCTGGGGCCTATGCTGTGGGGTGCTGCAGGAAACACAGGAAGGAGAGTTAAGCACACACAGATGTGGACAAGGGGAAGGTGGGGCCGCTGAGGCCACTGTTGGGAGGACTCCACCTAGCTGAAGCCCAGAAGGCAGGGTAGGGCATGCTCCACCGGAAGCACAGGTGGCCTTGACAGACTCTTGCTGGAAGGTCTGCCTTTCTGCCACCCTCCCATAGCCCACAGTGCGTCTGTCCAGCTGGAGTCTATGTGGTCACTCACCACCTCTGATCAGCTGGGACTGCTGTGGGAAGCTTCATAAGTAACCATCCCTCAAAGCAGCCTACCCTAAGGGCTTGCCCATGTGCAAAAACAACTTTTCTAGGGTGAGTTTGTGAAGTTGTGAGGAACTGGCAGGAGAAGCTCCCTGAACATCAACCCAAGCTGGGTCTAATCACAGGACAGGACAAGGAGGGCTGCGATGTAAACCACAGCAGGAGGGAAGAGACACAAATGGGGTCTGGCCAAGGGGCAGCTACAGGCTGRTGTTTAAGACAGAGCAGCAGAGCTGGGCTTCCCCTGTACTTGGGTCTCTGGCTGCAGCACAGAGCCGGACCTACTGAGCACACACAACCCTGACTAAATTGGCATTCCCAAAAGCCGTTTAAAAGCATGCTTCTGAAGACTAATCTTTAAATTTCCCATTTCAATTAAAGATAATCACTTAGTGAAATGTGGGAAGCAACCTCATACACAATGGACCCTTCATTTCCTCCCCCAAGAAGACAATGGCCAGGAGGCTATTTGTGCAGATGGAAGAGGGAACAGGAAAGCAAGCACAGCTCAAAGCATGCAGGGAGGACCAGGCTGCAGGGAGAGTCCCACTGTCTGGCTACCCTCCTTTGCTCCAGAGATTGGGCCTGGCCTGGGAAGAAGTCCCCAGCATTGGCCAGACCAGAGCCACCAGCAAGGGGCTATGGCAGCGGGAGTCTCCCTCAGCCCAGAACAGAGAGCAAGGCCATGTGCTGCATCCGTTACCTATTCATCTCAAGATCATTCAGGCGGGCAGAAAGGTCCTCAAGGCGGTTGATTTGTTTGTGGCACTGGCTACAGTAAAACTCAAAAGCCTCGTCAGTGAGGATGCTGTGTAGCTTTGAGGCAAGCGGGTCGGAGCTAGAGAGACAGAAGCGACAGTTCAGCACAGGGGGAGGGCCTGTCGGGTTATCTGTGATGCCACATGAGGGCCGGGGATGAGGTGGGCACTGGATGAAAGCATGTTGGAAAAGAACCAGACATAGAACATTCTGGCTCTCTAGACTGCCTGTGTGCTCTTCTTCATCATCACCCAAAGGAGCCTGTGACACATATCTCCTGCTCCAGGTGATGCCCASTAGCCAGATCTATCCTGGACAACGCACAGTACTGGTGCAGCTAATGGCTTCAGTGTAAAGCACAAACTTTCACCAACAAGAAGGTGAAGGAGCTCACAGCTTTCTCTTGGCCAACATGGCAGCAAGCCCTGACCACAGCTGGAGCTGGCCTGTTGTACCGTTTTACACATCAGTGTCAAGAACCATGCACTACAGTGCGCTGCTCACAGGTTGTGCTTTTCTTTGGTACCCAGGGGCACTTAGCCACTGAGCCATGTCCCAGCCCTTTTTAATATTTTATTTAGAGACAGGGTCTTGCTAAGTTGCTTAGGGCCTCACTAAGTTGCTAAAGCTGGCTTTGAACTTGCAATCCTCTGCCTTGGCCTCCTGAGCTGCGGGGATTACAGTTTATGCTTTTTTTTTTTTTTTAAAGATATTTATATTTTAGTTATAAGTGGACACAATCTCTTTATTTTATTTTCATGTGGTGCTGAGGATCGAGCCCAGTGCCTCATGCATGCTAGGCAAGCGTTCTACCTCTGAGCCACAACCCCAGCCCTACAGTTCGTGCTTCTTGTTTGTTTGTCATGTGTGAGAACTGTGAGAAACAGAATGTCATACTCTGGGGATGCTCACTGACCTCCTGTGACTTTGCTTCAGGGGGTCCCTACAACTAGAAGCAGAAGTTAGGAGGTCATCCTTGGAGCAGTAGGGCTCACAGGCTAGTGGAAATTCTTTTAGAAGTTTCAATTTAAGGAAAGGTGGAAAGGAAAACATTAAACGTAGCACAGAAGTTATACTTTTGAATGAAAACTCTGGGTAAGAGGCAAACTACACAAAAGGAAGAAACTCCTCAGCAGGACAGAGATACAGGCTTAGAAGTGCCAAGTTCAGCTGGATGAGCCCACTGCCTCATCCCCAGGGACACCTCAGAGGACCTCCCACCCCACAGTGGCTTCAGGAACAGCCCTACTGGCATTGTTCTCCACAGGGCTGGCAAGGGAATAATCTCTTCTTCTGGTTGCTGGTTTAGAGACTCTTAGCTTCTGCTGTTGGCAGTGGCGGAGAACTAACTATAGGAGCCTCTAGCAGACTCAGGTCCTCAAATAGGTTAAGCCAGGCAACTCTGAACTCTGCTGGGATCTCCTCATGCACAGCCCTAAGAGAAAGTAGGTGTCACCCCCACCCCAAGAGTTATAGTTCAGTTATTCGAAGCCACAACTTTCCAGAGAGTTTGGGAACGTTGGGTAATTACAAGCAAGTATWTCTGAGGACTTGCTTGAGATTTTAAAACCTCTTTCCAACCAAGCCACAGACCATGGAGTGGTCCATGACCAGGTGCCAAGGAACCTGCATGTCAAGTTCCAAGCACACCTTCAAGCCTCCTGGAGCTGCTGAGACCTCAGAAGTTTGCAGTGATTGGTGGTATGTCAGCCAACTTCCACCCAGATGTAAACTTAAAATCTGAGTGTGGTGCACTTGACATCACCTTGAACACACAAAGTTTTCTCTTACCAACATATAGAATCCAAAACAGAGACACTGGATAACTACCCAGGAAAAGGGAGGGAGGGGATAAGCTCAGGGCCACTTTACCTGGGAGTGAGGAAAGCGGTGTCACTGCAGCCCAGCTCCCCACTGCAGAGGGCCTCTGAGGACAGCTCAGCCTCACTGCCCTCACCGTAGTCCTCAAAATGTTCCTCGCTGCTCATCACCATGAYGACGGCCTGGCTGCGAGGGCGGGGCCTGCAAAGGTAACAGAGGCCACCTGGCTGCACAACCACACCTCCCCACAAGTGAGTTGCCAGCCATCAGCCCAGCTCCACTGTCCTGGGAGAACATGGAAGCAGGTGAAGTTGATTTTAATGAAATACTCAGCCTGACAAACAAAGAGCAGCACCATCCGAATGTATTGGATTCCTCACATCTTCCTTCACAGGACACGTGCTGTGTGTCAGGCACCAGCAGAGCCACACGCATGCAAAGGATCCATACAGGTCCAGCTCTGAGATGCTCAGGGGCAATGCAGAGTGCTCCTCTGGCCAGAGGGAACCACAAGGGACTGGCATGCCAGTAGCAGGCAGGAGGCCCACATGGTGCCCCACAGGGAGCAAGTCCCAGTTTTACACCCACAAGACCYGCACGTCACTGCCCAGTCCTGGGCAGCCAGGTGAGCCTAGGGCCTCAGACACAGGAGCCTTCCAGGAAGAGGAAGCACCCTGAGCTCTCTGTGAATCCTAACCATGGCCTGCCTCTCCTAGTTTCAGTCAACCAAGGTCAACCGAGTCCAAGAATGTTAACTGAAAAATTCCAGAAATAAGCAATTCCTACATTTTAAATATATAATTTTTTWAAAAAAATATTTCTTTAGTTGAAGATGGACACAATACCTTTATCTTATTTATTTATTTTTATGTGGTGCTGAAGATCAAACCCAGTGCCTCACATGTGCCAGGCAAGCGCTGTACCACTAAGCCACAATCCCAGCCCCTTCCTGGGGTGGGAGCAGGGCTCCTCCACCTGGGATTTTTTTAAACTGGGGATTTAACCTAGGGGCTCTTAACCACTGAGCTGCATCCCCAGTCAATTTATTTTTTTATTCTGAGGCAGGGTCTCATTAAGTCGCCTAGACTAGCCTTGAACTTGGATACTCCAGCTGCAGCCTCTGGAGTGGCTGGGATTAAATATTTTTTACCGAAGTATTTTTTCCCCCCCAGGTACCAGGGATTGAACTCAGGGGCACTCAACCACTGAGCTACACCTCCAGCCCTATTTTGTATTTTATTTAGAGGCAAGGTCTCACTTGGTTGCTTAGCCCCTCACCATTGCTGAGGCTGGCTTTGAACTCGAAATCCTCCTGTCTGAGTCTCCCCAGCCATTGGGAATACAGGCATGCACCACCATGCCGGCCATAGTATATTGTTTTAATTGTTCTATTTATTACAAGTTAACTTTAAGCTGTTACTGTGCCTAGTTTACATATTTTAAGGTAAGCCTTTCCCAGTGCTCTGCACACAGGAGAAAACACCATCTTTGGGCCCTATACACACAGCTCCAGCCTCCACTGGGTGCTATAGCCTGTGCCTACTGTGTGGAGTGTGTTCTCCAGTCACCCAGAAACTGAACTGCGTGGCTCACCCTAACTACAGGTGGACCCCTTGTGGGGCATGGTGACAGCAGAGGTCGTCCCTGGCAATTGTTTCCTGCTTCTCAGGATCGCCAGGCACCTGGATCCTGTGAGAGAACTCCTACAAGGGAGGGGACTCCATAGGGGCAAGCACACGTGGCCATGGGGCCAGGTGCAGCTGCCCTGGGCCCAGGTGGAGGAGCCCTGCTTCCACCTCAGGAAGGGGTGAGTGACAGGGCATCTTGCACTTGGTCGTCTGTTGTCCTGCAACCCTCAGGGCACCACACTGTTTATGCAGCTAACATTGCAGGTCAGGAACCCTCCCAAGACAAACCTCACCCRGCGATTTCCCAGGTCTGGCATTTCCTCACCTCTGACTACCTAATTCAAATTAACTTGAATCAGAACAACACTTTTTTTTTTTTTTTTTTTGGTACTGGGGATTGAACTCAGGGGCACTCGACCACTGAGCCACATCCCCAACCCTATTTTGTATTTTATTTAGAAACAGGGTGTTACTGAGTTGCTAAGCACCTTGCAGTTGCTGAGGTTGGCTTTGAACTCAAGATTCTCCTGCCTCAGCCTCCCTAGCCATTGGGATTACAGGTGTGTCCTAATGCGCTGGCCCAGAACACCTTTTTTTAAAAAAAAAAAAAAATTATTTTTTAGTTGCAGTTGGACACAATACCTTTATTTATTTATTTTTATGTGGTGCTGAGGATTGAACCCAGGTCCCTGCACAGGCGAGTGCTCTACCACTGAGCCACAACCCCAGCCCTTTTTAAAATATATTTTTAATTTTTTTTTAATTGTAGATGGACACAATACCTTTATTTGTTTATTTATATGTGGTGCTGAGGATCAAACCCAGGGCCTCATACATGCAAGGCAAGCGATCTACCACTGAGCCACAACCCCAGTCCCTAAAATATTTTTTTAGTAGTACATGAACACAGTATCTTTATTTATTTTTATGTGGTGCTGAGGATCAAGCCCAGTGCCCCACATGTGCAAGACACATGCTCCAATATTGAGACACAGCCCCAGCCCCCAGAACACTTTTTAAGAGCACTGTAACCAAAGTTAACAGGCCTTACCACAGCGCCCCTCTACGCTTGTCCTTCCCTCCGTCCTGCTGCAAGCCAAGGTGCCAATTGCACTTGCTGCTCCATGTCCACAGGGCAGAAGCCCCAGAGGCACATCCCTCCAGGCCTCCACCAGAACAGCACACCTACATGGGACACCCAAACCCAAGGACCTGGGCAACAGAGAGTGAGGTCACGTACAAGGATACACACCAATAGTAGAGTGCTGATCCACCCAAGTGCAGCAGAGCCATCACCGTCCCAGTTGCAACTCATCTCCCCAAACCACAGCTAGTTCTCAATATTTGCAGATATGGAGGACCCCAGGGATCAAAAAGACTGTGAAAAATGAAGCCAAAGGACTTGCACCCTACAGTGAGCCCGGTGCTCAGAGTGGCCTCGACCCAGGAAGACAGCACAGAGCAGCCCCCACATAGCCACCTCATAGGACCCGTAGGTGAAGGGGAGACTTGAAAAGGCAACTTGCTCCAGTAGATGTCTCTCTGGGCAATGACCCCCATCTTACACCACACACAGAAGCCAGCTATGTAGAAGTTCATACCTGAACATGAAGGCAAAAGAATCAAGCTTTAAAGAAAGCAGATACAAATATCACAGTAATTATGGAGTAAGCAAGATGCTAATTTTGCTTAAGAAAAATGGATAACCTATACTATCATAAAACTAAAAACATCTGCTCCTCAAAATGAAAGGCAGACCAACAAAGCAAGAGAGTTTCCGTAACACAGGTGCTAAGGACTCATCTACACCACTCTGTCCTCTGAGGCAACAGAGCCCACCTGACAGTCAAGGCAGGCCACACCCTACCATGGCTACTTCTGCAGACAGTAGCTATGGCACACCTGCCTACGCTCCCCCACTGCCAGAGACCACTTGGCCTCTCACAGAAGCCTGCTGACAACAAACAAGTGGGTGCTTCACAGAAGAGGAGCTCAAGGGGGCACTAACCCTAGGAAGAGGTGCACAGCCTCCCAGACTCTGGGCTATGCCACTGCTGCCCCAGAGCTGCAGGCTCCCTGTGGGGAGAGCTCAGGCRAGAGAGACCAGTGGGACCCACAGCCGTCTGTGAGCTGCCCGTGACTGCAGGAGCTGTGTGAACTTCAAAACTGCAGTATGTGTCCCCAGTGACCCACCATAGTGCTTCCAGGGACACACAGGCCACAAGACACACAGTGCCCACAGCAACTTAACTCTCAAAGCTGAAAATAGGAAGGAACTTAACTCCCTTGACATTCCATCAGGTTAAAAACTGTGGCAAACTGGTCCAGTGGGATGGGATCCCCTAATGATAAGGAACAAATGATAGATGCCTATGCCCCAAAACGAAATGCGTCTCAAAACTCAAGGTTAGATCAAAGAAGATGGGTGCTTACAAGGGACCCCTGCGTGCATGCATATAGGTGAGATGGCAGGGCTTGCTGTGCAGGAAACATGCCCAGGAGGAGGCTGGGGGCACCCTAGTGAGGGCGTGGGATTCCCACAGGACAAGCTCTTCACTCTGAAGAGCCAGCTGGATGGGTACTCAGGCCTGCGCACCAGCAACACTGTAACACCTGGGCTGTGCTGTGCACACTGATGAGTGCTGAAAATGAGGAGAGGTACAAGAAGCAAAAACAATGCAGAMGGGGCTGGGGTGGTGGCTCAGTGGTAGTACGCTCGCCTAGCATGCATGCATGGGGCACTGGGTTCAATCCTCAGCACCACATAAAAGCAAACTAATGTATCCACCTTAAACTAAAGATACATAGTAAATAAATATTAAAAAAAAAAAAAAAAAAACAATGCAGGTGCTCTGGGCTGCTAGCTGTGTTGGCTCCCAGCAGTGAGGGGTGAGACAGGGCTGTTTCCAGGGTCTATGTGGGCTGGCCCTTCCTTTTCCTAACACCCTGGCCATTCCCCGAAAATTTCTAACACAGGATAACTGGGACACCCTGGGGGCAGGGCAGGGGATCAGAACAGGTAGTATGGACAGGGTGCTACAAAGACATCTGATGAGCACTGTGTTGTCCAGCTCTGAAGAAGTGTGCTGACAAGACATAGGAGACCAAGTCAGGGTTTGTCTTTTGAGACACCGAAGCCAAGGCCATTCACTGCCAGGAGAAGCACCTCCCACAAGGAGGCAGTACAAGAGACTGTGCAGCAGGGTGGCTCTGTGATGACAGGCAGGCACCGCCGGACAGCACGATCCATGGACCATATCTGCCCAGCTGGAGTCCCCTAGGGGGTGCAGTGGGCACACACCTGCCTGGGAGGAGCAGTAGAGCACCATGGTCAGTCTCCTCCATGGCATCCAGGCACTCAGAGGGCACAGCTGAGCCACCAGCGCTGTCAGCATCCCCCTCAGGCTGCAGCTCAGGGTGCACCAGGGTGCTGGTGTCCTCATCGGTAAAGGTCTCGCACTCGCTGTAGGTGCTCTCTGAGCCCATGTACGCACTGTCCGTCACCTCGTTGGCCTGGAAAAGAACACCAACAGACAGATCAGCCTGGGCTGCGAGGTGACGCTGCTGCAGAGGACATACAGGCCCAGCAGAAGTTCAAAGCACTTCTCTAGATAGAGATGATAGTTTATAAAACAGGATTGGAGTCGGGTTCTGTTTTTTTTTTTTTTTTTTTGCAGGGGGTGGGGGGGGGGGGGGTGCGGGGGTGATAAAGGTAAGCACAGACTCCACCACTGAGCCACATCCCAGTACCACAGTTCTTCCATTCTGGGGAATTTTTGGTTTTGGGTTTTGTGNTTTGCAGGGGGTGGGGGTGGGGGTGGTGAGGGGGTGATAAAGGTAAGCACAGACTCCACCACTGAGCCACATCCCAGTACCACAGTTCTTCCATTCTGGGGAATTTTTGGTTTTGGGTTTTGTGTCTATGTATGTGGTTCTGGGGATTGAACCCGGGGTGCTCTACCACTGTGCTGCCCCAGCCCTTTTATTTTATTATTTTTTTTTCTGAGATCAGGTCTTGCCAAGTTGCCCAGGCTGGCCTTGAACTTCCCATCCTCTTGCCTTTGTAGAGGCTGGATTATAGGCGTGTGCCATGGCTCCTGGCACATATTTTTTTAAATTAAAAAAAAAAWAGAAACATGTACAAGAGCAGACAAAAACACTTGGAGTCAAACATTTTTGGTCGTACTGGGATACAACCCAGGTCCTCATATATGCTAGATAAGCGCGCTTATCACTAAGCCAAAACCCCAGCCCTACTTGGGAGTCATTTTTAGTCAGTTAAATAAGCATGCATAAGACAGATGCAACGTATCTCAATAGCAAAGGTGAAGCCCAGCAGAGCCCTCCTGTGGCTTCTGACATGAGGGCTGCTCATGACTCAGGAGTTCACATCCAGTGGTGCGAGAAGGGCCCTCACTGGAGAGTCACCATCAACTGCTGTTATGTCCAGACTGCTACTTTGGTATGCAGTCAAGGGTTAGCGTCTAAAAACTCACCAGCTTCTAGCTGAACATCTGCTTTTCACTGGCCATGTCTGTTTTTACTCTTACCAACACCTAGCATAGGGCTTGGCATACAGCAGACAGTAATATTCATAGTCTGTACAAATGAACCTAAAACTAAAGAATCATTAAGGGGACATTTTCAAATCAAATGGAATTCAATCTCAACTTTCATTAAAATGCACTTGCAGGTCAGGAGCAGTATCCAGCTTTTATTTCATGCTCACAATCTGAGGTTAATGATTTGTAAACAAGTAAGACTTCAGAAAAGCTCCAGTTTTAGCAGGAAAAAGGTGCACTTTAAACCCCAGATCTGGTATCACAAGGAGGATAAGACATCAAGGACTACCCAAAGGACTCACTGAACGTTGGAGCTTCATCTCAAGACCAGGCCTGGGCCTTTGGGCCAGTGGGAAACCCAGCTCCATCCTCACCCACCACTGAAAGCCATGGGACTCAACCTAGAGCCTTGAGGCAGCCACCTCACAGGGGTGCAGGTAACACAGGCAGGTGCTTTTTAAAGCACAGAAATTAATGTGAGAGGGCACCAGTCTCTAGAGGGTAGAAAGCCAGACTAAGATAGGGAACAACATGGAATATGCAACTCTGGGTGTCAGATTACATTCTCAAGTTTTCAAGGGAAACCTAACCTTCTCCAGAATCTAAGAAAATTAATTCATAAAAAAAAAAAAAACTAAGGGGGCGCTGGGGATATAGCGCAGTCAGTTGGTAGAGTACTTGCTTTGCATGTACAAGGCCCTGAGTTCAATCCCCAGCATTGGGAAAAAAAAAAAAAAAACTAAGGGGTGCTGAGGCTGTGGCTCAATGATAGTGCACTTGCCTGGCATGTGTGAGGCACTGGGTTCGATTCTCAGCACCACATATAAATAAATAAAATAAAGGTCTATCAACAACTAAAATTAAAAAAAAAAAAAMAAAAAACCACCAAAAATCTAAGGAATCCATAGGAAGAAACTGCTTTGAAATCCAAAACCAGAATGTCACCTTAAGGCCAGGCATGGTACAGGTAATCCCAGCAGTAATCATGGTACAGTAATCCCAGCAGCTCTGGAGGCTGAGATAGAAGGATCCCAGGTTCAAAGTCAGCCTCAGCGATAGCGAGGCACTAGGCAACTCAGGGAGACCCTGTCTCTAAATAAAATAAAAAATAGGGCTGGAGATGAGGCTCAGTGGTTGAGTGTCCTTGAGTTCAATCCCCCTACTCCACCCCCACCAAAAAAAAAAAAAAGTCACCTTACAAGGTGTCAACTCCAGTTCCATTCATTGTCCTGAGTAGCTCCCTCCAAACAAGGCAGGCTAGGACCCTACTTGGCCAGGGCTCTGGGCTGGCCTGCTAGAGGCCGGCCCCTGGGGGACAGCACCAGAACAGGACACAAAGCCTAACTCTAGCCTCTGACAATATCTGAGGAGAGCTGCTGGCAGAACAGTACTCATAGGTGCAGCTACAAACTCACCCAGCAGCACTTGAAAAACCCTCCTTAGATTTGTCAAAATGTGATTATCAACAAAAGAGCAGGTTCAGCTCTTCAGTATTTAATGAAAATTTTCCAAAAGAATGTTGCCCACTTGCCGGGCATGGTGGTACATGCCTATAATCACAGCAATCTGGGAGGCTAAAGTAGGAGGATCACAAATTTGAGGCCAGCCTCAGCAGGTTAGCAAGGTCCTAAGCAACTTAGGAAGACCCTATCTCAAAATTAAAATAAAAAGAACTGGGAGGTAGCCCAGTAGTGAAGTGCTCCTGGGTTAAATTTCCAGTGCTCCCCACCAAAAAGACCATTACCCCTGGTCACAAGGATAGTCCCCTGAAGCCAACACCAAGCACTGAGTCCTGGAACAGGGGAGCAGGCAGAGCTACACACCTGACCCTCAGCAGCAAGAACCATGAGGTCAGATCCCAACCAGGAACCCACAGAGCTGGCTTCCTGTAAGCAGCAGCCTCTACCTCAAGGTGGGCCCTCTAGAAAGCCAAACACTTCTAGAGAGCCCTGTGCTTGTCCCTGGCCCTGTGGACCCTGCTCCTCACCTATCACCCTGACATCGTAAGGACAAGCCAGCGCTCATTCCTCAAATGCAGATCGCAGTGGGAACCAGGCACTTCTCCTTCCAGGGAGGGAGGGAGGCCCAGGCGCTGGAAGCTGCTCATGTCACAGAGAGTTCGGTCAGGGCAGCATGGAACAGATAGCGCCATCCCAACACAGGACAATGGCACAGTGCTACAGTCTCTGACTGCCCTGCGAGCCTGGCAGGGACACCATGTGCCAGGTGGCCTCCCGCCTTTCAGACAGACCCAGGAGGGTGGCCGCTGCCCAGCCTCAGGCTCTGGCGCCTGAAGCAATATCTACCACTGGGTGGCTCAGCCCTGCATGTGACAGGTCAATTCAGCTCAGACTTGTCCCTCTATCTGTTCCAAACAAGGCACCAACTTGGTCTTGCTGGTCTTGTCCACATAGCACTGCTGTGAGTACTTGGGTCTTCCTGCAGGGATAGTAAAGAGCCTCTGAGTCAGAAACAGGAAACCCAGGGAGGGCATAGGAAGTGGCCTAGTCAGGCAGGAGGCCGAGAGCTGGGAGGGCAGGAATACCCAGTTTTTCCCTGCCAAGATGCATGGTTACAGCCAGCTACTGCAGCATATCTCACACACACTCAGTGAACCAGGAAGCAAGTTTGTTTCCTAGAGGCCTCTCCAGAGAGGCAATGGAGCATCTTGGAGCATATTGCTTACCCACAGCCATGGATGCACCCCAAGTACAGCACCCCTGGTCACACCACACCTGCCAGCAGACAGACCCAGCTTGGCCCAGGAGCCAGCACATCTATGCCAACAACTTCTATTACTAACTCACTTGAAAAATCCAAAGCACTTCTTAGAAAATTTCACGATTTAACACACTGTCTAAGCTGAAGATGGATGGTCCAAGGCCATTGCGGGTGGCTCCCCCCAATCCAGATCACGGCTCCTTTTTCCCTGAACCTTCCTCCTCCATGAGACGCTGAATTCTGGGCACAGTACACACTAGCATCGCCTCTTACCCTCAGATGTTAGCCGGTACCTTCACAGGGTTGACTCTGTGCATGGGCTCCAGGGAGGGTGTGCCAGGCAGAGCAGCCTCCCAACCGCACCTCCGCATGGACCAAGTTGCTGTTTTCTCTCCACTCAGTGTGGTCTTCCTATCTGCTACTGATGCTGGGCTGCTGTAAAACCTGTGTGCCTGCCGGAAGCCACATCACAGCATACGAGACAACCTAACTGCTCCCAGACACGCTCTGTTAAGCCCATCGCTGGTGCTGGCCAGGCCAGGAAGGGAGAGGCAAAGTCCAGGAGATGTCCTTGCTGGCTGTAACAAACAGTCAGGGCCCAAAACAGGCGGCTTTTGTTTTACGCTTTGATAACAGTCTGTACTAAGGACACATTTCCATCACCTCTCTAAGGCCCCAGCAAGCAGGAGGCAGCACCTAGGAAGCATGGCCAGGACCCCTCTGGGAGGTCTTGTCATCTGGGGGGGCCTCTCCTCTTTGCAACTGCCCAATGCCCTTCTAGAAAGACTTAAGACAAACTTCCCTCCCAGAACAATCTGGGCAATATCAGCCCCACCTCCCTGACTTGCCCATGAGAATGGCCTCCTCCTTTATAGGCACAAGCCCAAGGGTACCGGGGAAGCTGCAGCTCCTGAGTAGCCAACTGCACCTGTACCCCATAGGCACTGGGCTAGAGCACACAGTATTCCCAGTTAGAAAACTCTATTCTGACTGGAGTCATTTTCAGAAGACCAGGCAAAGCTTATTGATCCCTGCAGATGACCAGGAGCAGCAAGGCTTCAAGCACAATCAATGGAAGTAACGGCCCTTCTGCACTCAAAAAGCATGTGAGACTTTTATGATTATGTGATGTGCAAGCTTTCCATTCTTTTAAGAGTAGATGCTTTTCATAAGTTTCACAGTGGTATTTAGTGCTGCTCTTCTGAAAATCACACCTGGAAACCCCCAAAAGCAAGACATGGAGAAACGCAAACACCCAGGACTGAGAAGCCAACACACTATGCTCAAGCTCCAAGGTACTATAGAAGGAGGAGGCCTGGCAGGACACCCACGCTTGGTCAGAACCACAGAAAGCACAACACAAAGGCAGCTGTGTCCTCCTCGTTAGTGACTAGGTACCAGCACAGGCCCACCAATGTGAGACATTCGTGGGCAGAAGGGTGCACACAAATGGACAGCTTCTGTTGGTTCCATTCAGTAAACCTAAAACTGATCATGTGACAAGGGAGCTGAGGCTCAGAGCACGGGTTCAAAGTCCAGCCTGTTTGCTGCCTTAGCAAGCTGCAGAGGGCTGACTAGGGCTAGTGCTTGCTACCTCCAGCCTCTCTGGCACCGCTGGAGGGCTTAGGTTAACTCCATGTTGTTCCTTGGGGAGATGGGGTTTCACTGTTTCCCAAGCTGCCCTCAAACCCTGGGCTCAAGCAATCCTCCTCCCACATCAGCCTGCTGAGCAGCTGGGACTATAGGCTCCATGTATTTTGTATTGAAAACATTCTACTTGGGAGGATGAAGCAGGAAGATCCTAAGTTCGAGGCCAGCCTCAGCAACTTGTCTCAAAATAAAATTTTTTAAAAGGAGTGGGATATAGCTCTGTGGTAGGTAGAGTGCTTGCCTATATGCATGAGGCTACATGTTCAATTTCCCAATACTGAAAATAAATAAATGAATATATGAAGCAAGCATTCCAGACCCAGCTACCAGATCTCCTGCCTCCTGAACATGCTTACAGGATCTTTCTTCACCATGACATCCCTAGCTATGTTGGCAACAAGGGACCCACAATTAAGGAGACACATCATCATGACTACCCTGGATACACCTGGGAGCAGGAGGTGGAGAACAGTGGAGCAGGACGCAGGTGTTAAGTCAAATGTCCCCAAACATAAACACTGCTTGAAAGTTTTTCAAATCTTGCAGACTTCTGCTGCATGCAGAGGGTGACAGTGCTGTCACCACAGAGCCCTGACAGACCACCCAACCTCTGCTCCATAGATGCCCAAGGGAAAYTCCTGCAAGAGCCCAGGAACAGTGTGGGGAGTGAAAGGCCCCTAGAGCTCAGAGTCCAACACCCAAATACCCCCAACCAGGTGCGAAGATGGGACAGATGCTTCATCCCTCATGAGGGGCATCCCTGGCACAGGACGCAGCACTAAGAGGAAGAAGCTACACATCAGGCTTGGGCCAACACTTGCCTCGTAGGTGACGAAGTCGTAGAACTCATCAGCGCAGGTTGAGGAATCCTCATCCTGGGCAGGCACCACGCTGGGCAGCTGGCTGTTGGACTCTGTGGATACAAGACCCAGCACTGGTGAGACCACTGGAGCCTCCAGAGGTGCAAGGTGCCACACAGTCAGGAGTAGGGAGGGTCTGGAGTTTGCTGTGGGGGAAGCAAGAGGGGAGAGCCCAGCAGGGCGAGATTGGAGGCCACATCCCCAGGAAGTGGGGTTCCACCGAAGGCTGGGCACTGGTGTCAGGGAAGAACAGCACAACTTCATTCCTCATAAAAAACAAAGACCACTGCCAAAGAAAAAGAGCAAGGCACCAAGCCCTTCAGACTCTACAGAATGCCAGGTACTAATAATCCAGACTTAGGAGCCAAACCCCTGGTGACAGGGGAGGCACGGGCTCCATGAACCAGCACAGGACACACCCATCCTGCAGCTGAACTCACAGGCAGTTTACATTCCCCTCTTCTACTTGACTATTTTCCAAAATACACATTTCCTTTCATAGACATAACTCATGAGGGACAGACAGAATTCACTGCTCTTCAAACACATGGATCCCACTGCACTTGCCTACCTCCTTCCATGGGAACTGAGGCAGAGGCAGGACTCACAGGGCAAGGGGCAGCAAGGCAGCTTCTGCCACCTGGTGTCAAGACACATCAACCACTCACTCAGCATCTTCACCATGACCCACCTGACACCAGCCACATATGGAAAAAGCAGAGTCGAGTCTCTCGAGTGCCAAGTTCTCCTGGGAGAAGCTCTGAAATAGGATGGCTTCCTGCAGCTAGGCTGGAGGGACCAAAGAAGGTTCCTGCTGTGATCTAGACCACATGGGTGAGTACCACATAGGTGCCACAACCCAAAAGGTCTGGGTTAATGGGGAAGCAAGGATGGGCATCCATGGAGCAGAAGGACATGCTACTGCCCCATCCAGTTTCTAGATGTCTCTCAATAAAAATCAAGACAACTATTTCCTGACAGTGTGCAAACTAAAACCTTCACACATGTGGCAACTCATGCTGTTGTCCTCTATGGTTTTCAAGAACCACAAGTCTTCTTGGGGCTGAATGCAGCATTCTGGGGTGTATGACTGAACCTCTGGGGAGCCAGGAGTAACAAGGTCTCAAGTCCAGCCTTGCCTGACTCTTCAGGCAGACCCAGCCCTCCCCCATCATACTGGCCAAGGTTCCCACACTAGTGTAAGTTGGTTGTAGCAAGCTGCAGCAGAACTACTCAAGCTCATGACGCAGATGCCACTGGCACAGATGGGACCGTTAGAATTCTGCAGCACAGGAGGGCCCATCTTCCCAGGGCAACAGGACTGCACACTTGGTCACAAGTCAGATTGCTGCTGGCAGGTTGCCACCATTGGATGCTGGAGTGCTTGCACTTCTTAAACGGAAATTCAGAACTCAGAAGTGTCAGACAGCCAGCACTCCAGCACCTGGACACGTGATTCGGGTGGCACCCAACCTCAGAGTCCCAGGGAGACCCGAGCACAGCTTGTATTGTTTGTATCCTCATATCAGCTATCTCTGTAAGAATGAAACAATGTTCAATTAAAATTGAAAAATTCTAACTCCCATTCCCCTTATTCTTCCAGAGCCTGAGGTGTACATGAGCCAGAGCAATATTTGTAACAAGTCCCTCCCTATCTCACTGTTTCTGAAACAAGGCCTGTAGCCATGACAGTAAAATCTCCTGGCACTTCCCTGCAAACTAGGTCAACACATCACGTAGCCTCTGCTAGTCCCCAGTGCCGGCAGCTGTGCAGGCTCCAGGCAAGGTCTGAAAGCATCCGTGGAAGGCAGTCTGGGCCATCATGCGTTCGCTCCTTTTTCACACATGGTATGAAATAATTTCAGGACCATCTCTGCCTTGTTCATATTTTCACTCTCCCTCCCTGATGAAATCTAAACAAAGTCTCAAAATCACAAACACAGAGAAGCAAAGCCATTGCCTCAGCCCCAGCAGCAGTATGTCCCACATCTGTGGTCCCACTAGTGCTCCTTCCCTAAGCCCACATCAGCTCTGAGAGCAGGCCCACCAAGCTGGTGCTGAGACTGGGCTGGAATTCTAAGGCTGATTCTCACACAGAGAAGATCCCACAGCACATGGCCTGGCCTGGCCTGGCCGCCTACGCCTGTGGACACCCACTGCCTGAACACTGGTAAAGTCTTCTTTATGAGTGCTATAGTGACAGACACAGTTGCCGGCTCAAGACCCACATGACCCAGGAGCCAGCCTTGGGTCAGAAGCTGGTAGTCTTCCTGCTAGAGGGCCACATTCTTGGAAAGGATGGACAGAGGGCTGGCCAGCTCACTGCAGCCTGACGTGGGCCTTAGCCACCCAAGGCACAACATCTTGGGCCTGGGGATATAACCATTAGTTCTTTCCAGTCACCCAAGTCAAGCCCCCAGGTAGCCCCACAGCTCAGTAGCTGAGTTCATGTCAACAGGATCCAGAAGACGATGCCATTGTCTCAGCTCTTTCTCATACCCATTGCCCTAGGGGCTGCTGTTCCTCCCAGACTTGACTTTGTCAGGAGACCTGAAAAGTACAACTGCCCAAATCAGAGGAAGCCCGGTCTGGACTCTCCCTGACCAGCCACACACATAGCACAYAGCCAACAGGGTGCTGAGACTACCAGGGAATGTGACCACAGAACACTGCCAGCCTTGTGAGACAGGGCAAGGTGACTGACCAGCAGAGGCCAGTGCATAGCATTCAGCAGGCCACTGAGGCAGACAGGTCACTATAATGTATGTGACGAGAGGRGCAGTCTTGAGGAAAAGCTACCATGCTCACAGAAAGCACGTGAAGTCACAATTGCTGCCTGCTACTTCTCACACATTTGTCACACCTGTCCATGGCCAGCAAGTGACCATGCTGAGAGGCTGAGGGCACAAGCAGCTCTGACCACTCCCCATCGAAATATGCTGTCTTATTTCCCTCCCACGAATTCTTAAGTGCTAGACTTTTCTACAGAGGCTCTGGCACAACCCATAACAATTAACACACTCCACCTCATTCTCCCTCTCCTGGTCTTCCGAAGTGGCTCAGTCAATCTTTGGTTACATAAATACTCCATTTAAGCACTAGCGTTGTGCAAAGCGTGTTTGTGGCTGGGCTGAAACGGTCTCTTCCATGGTCCCTCCCCGTGTACCCATCACCCTTCTACCCCACTCGGGTGGAGCTATGAAGGGCCCCACCACAGACTGCCAGCTCCAGGGAATCAGGGTTAAGGTACCACCAACAACCCAGATGCCTGCACAGGGCCAGTCTGTTACTTAAGAATAACAATGAGGCAAATCCGCAGTCAGCCATGTCATACACCTATAATCCCAGCAACTTGACAGGCTTGAGGCAAGAGTACTGCCAAGACTTTGTCTCAAAGTAAATAAAATCTGTTTCCTTTTTTTTTTCCCTCTTTCTTTTGCAGGAATAGCTGACTGAAAGTGTTTACTAGACTTGTCTGATACCTTGGTTTTCATGGATAACCTAAATTAGAAACAGATAAAATACTTTTAACATTGTTATAAATATCAAGGTGCTGTAAGAAATCAAACCCTGGCCAGGGTCCCTCTCTGGTAATCACACTTCCTGTCTCCCACCCTCCACGAAGAGGGCTCTGGGGCTGGCCTTGCAGTCACCTGGGTCCCCGCCTGCTGTACTGATCAAAGCGGTGCCTTGCCCAGGAGCCCTCATGCTGCTACCCACCGGCTTAACCCCTTGCTAGAGCACCAAGGTGTGCTCAAGGCCAAGCTGGTGCCTGCACAGGTCTGGATAAAAATGGGACACAGGGCAAACTCAGGGTTTCAGGAAACCCAGCCCCTTAGTGACACTGCCAGGCTAGAATATGGGGCAGAGACAGACAAGACAGCTACTGAAAAGACCTGAGATCCAAGGTCATCCTGAACCTGACCACACTCAGTGACCATGGACCCCCCACCCCCTGCCAAGGTCTGATGGGCCCATGTGCAGCACRAGGGCAGAGGCTATGAGTGAGACATACTACTGCTGTTCCCAGACCACCAGCCGGAGACAGGGGCTTGAGAAAGAACAGTACCAGCAGAGCTGCGGGACAGTGTGTGGGGCAATGGGTGAGTATAAAGTGGCAAGACCACTGTGAGGACACTGGGCTCGCGCCCAGTAAATGGCTACTGCTGCTAGCTACTCCCAGGACAGGAAAACTGATTCCACACAAAGACTGTACAGAGAGGTCCTCAGAGCTTTACTCCATCAGCCCAGAGCAGATGCCCATTGCAGCAGCATGGGGATGTGGGGACAACATGCAGAGGGACACTAACCACCATGGGAGAACAACAGAGACTCACACGCCACGAGAGTAGACCAGGAGGCAYGCGGTGAACAATGTGCTTCCACATATGAAACTCAGGAGAGGCAAGGCCTTTCTAAGGAGACAGGAGAGGGCAAGAAGGAGTGCTGAGAGCAGCCCTGCCAGCCTGTGGAGTGTCCAGCTCTGTCAGAGCACAGCCCAGCACACTCAGGTGTGCACATTCCACAGGATGCTTCATCAAAGCCTTAAAACACACTCTGAGTAGTGGGGACTGGTATGGATATTGAGCTGTCCAGGGGGTGCACAGAGCATGCTGACTTGGAAGTGCTCTCCATTAAATAGATGGATTGCCAGACAAAGACATGCAGATGAGGGCATGGTAAGAAAACCCAGCAGATGCTGCTGTAAATGCACATAGGTGCTTCTGTACAACTTCTTGAGTATTTCTGAAATTTTTCATCAAAAAAACTCAGGGAAGGTCAGCAGCTTCCTAAAGTTGTGGACAGTAGTTTAGACTGTTAACTCTGGAGGATGGGGGTAAGGAGAGCAAAGAACAGGAAGGAACCTGGCAAGGAGTGGAACAGGATGGGTGGTCATAGGGCAGTGCAGGAAGGGGAAAGGCGGTGGGGACCACTGACCTCCATTTTTGATAGCTGTGATGCCCTGGTAGAAGTCTTCAAAACTGATCACGCCGAGCCCACTGGGATCCAAGTACTGAGTTAAGTCCTTCACCTGCAAATGCCAAATGAGAATATGTTACCCACAGCCTTCTTAAAGTTGGGGAGGGCACACACTATGCACTGGACCCTCTCACCACACAGAAGCAGCTTGCTAGAAAGGTACACAGCTGAAGTAGAAGCCACTGATGCTTCTGATGGAAGAGGCAAAGGTAGCTGCCAAAGTCATTATGAGTGGCTCCAGCCACAGGATGGTGGTGTCCTTGAGGATCCTGCACCATGGAAGTAAGATCCTCGCTCTCGGAGCTGACAACCAGACTCCAATGGGAAGGACAGGAGGTTGCTCCTACAAGGGCCTGGAACATTCATGCAGAGCATAAACCACACCACCCAGACATGCTCTCCCAGCAGTGCTGGGTCTCTGGGAGGACAGACCCCTGACATCCATCAGGCTCACAAAAGTATAACTGGGTGGTTCACACCTGGATGATACAGAAGGCACAACTCTTCAGGAAGAACACAAGGCTGTGCTGCCAAGCACAAGTCGGATCTCAACAAAACTTTAAATTTCTGTACTTCAAAAGACATTAGCTAGGGGCTGGGGTTGTAGCTCAATGGCTGAGTGCTTGCCTTGCATGCGTGAGGCACTGGGTTCGATCCTCAGCACCACAGAAAAAAATAAGTAAAAAGATATTGTGTCCATCTACAATTAAAAAAATATTTGGGGAAAAAAAGACATTAGCTGGGCACAGTGGAACTTGCCTGTAATTGCAATCACTTGGGAGGCTGGGAAAGGAGGATCCCAAGTGGGAGGCCAGCCTGGGCAACTTAATGACACCCTGTCTTGAAATAAATAAACTACATCCCCAGGCCTTCTTATTTATTTATTTATATTATAAATATACATTTATTTATATTATATTTTTATTCATATACCCAGTACTAAAAACAAAAGGACAACATTTAGTAATACCAGAAGGCATGACACAGATCAGAAGAAATATTTGCATACTTAAAAGTATATATAACTGGGGCTGGGGTTATGGCTCAACAGTAGAGTGCTCGCCTTGCACATGCAAGGTACTGGGTTTGATCCTCAGCACCACATAAAAATAAATAAATAAAAGTTATTATGTACAACTACAAAAAAATATATTTTTTAAAAATTATATATAACTGGTAAAGGACCTATATCCAGAATATATATATAAAAAAAAATCTTACACTTCAAAAAGTCATATATAGCCAGGCACAGCGGCCCATGCCTGTAGTCACAGTGATTCAGGAGGCTAAAGCAGAAGGAGCCAAGTTCAAGGCCAGCCTGGGCAACTTAGCAAGACCCTTCCTCAAAATTATAAAATAAATAAAAGGGCTGGAGATGTAGCTCACGGGTAGCATGTCCCTGGATTCAATTCCCAGTACTGTGAGAAAAGAAAGAAAAGCCATACACAGAGGCAGTGTCATGTGCCTGTAAGTCCCAGCTACTGAGGAACCTGAGACCAGAGGATCAGAATCACTTGTGGCCAGGAGTTCAAGGCCAGCTGGGGCAACACAGAGGAACCCCATCTCAAAACAATTGACAATGGCAAGCTCTGGAGATGAGGAGAAATCCCTGAGCCTCACCAGGAAACATGATGTGGTCTGGCAGCCTTGAGAGCTATTAGGCAGGTAGTCTCTTTAAAAAGTACAACATGAGCTCATTGTACAGCACAATGTCCCCAGAGAAAGGAACAGTGAGTCCACAACAACACTGTGTCCAGCTACTCTGCAGAGCCCAAGTATTTGCCAGCAGAGAAGCCACAGGAAAGACCACARGTTACAGTTTCATGAAAAGAAATTCTTGGAAAGGACAAGTCAGTGAGATGAAAGTCAAATCAGCCCTGCCTGGGACCCAGGGAGGAGGAATGCTGATAGCAGCACACAGGGACCCTTCTGGGATGTGGAACTGCAAGGCAGGGCTTCCACAAACTCACATGCACCCTGAAAACTGGAGCATAGGCAAATGTGAGGCTCTGCTGGAGGAGTTCCCCAGTATTGAAGATCAAGCAGAGACAGAAAGAACACACCAGCACCTGGAGAAGACCCACTCCCCAGGCCCAAAGACCCCTTCAAGACTTATGCTGGTGAGCTTCTTGAATTTCAAAGAGAAAAGGCTGTTTAACCCTTTAAATAGCCGCACAAAAGTGAAGTGAGGACATAGAGGAAGCAAAGTGGAGCATCACCCACTGCCAGCAGCAACAGCAACCCCGAGTGCTTGCCGGCACACCCATGCTGCTGTGGCCGAGTGGGCTGCCAGGCCCGCCTCGGGACTCACCCATCTGCTGATGGCCACACAACACCTCATACTGCTGACTAAGTCTCAGGGTGAGCTTTGGAGGATGTTTGGATAACAGCTGCCCATCATCTGAATTTGAATTTTAAGCATCACTTTTTTTTTGGGGGGGGGTAATGGGGATTGAACCCAGGGGTGCTAAGCCATATCCCATATCCCCAGCCCTTTTTAGAGACAGTGTTTCCCTGGGTTGCTTAGGGCCTTGCTAAGTTACTGAAGCTGACTTTGAACTCCTGCCTCAGACTCCCAAGCTGCTGGGAGTACAAGTGGGGGCCACCACCTCCAGCTTTATTTAGGTGGACACAATATCTTTATTTTTTTTTTTTATTTTTATGCGGTGCCGAGAATTGAACCCAGTGCCTCACGCATGCTAGGCAAGCGCTTACGCATGCTAGGCGAGCGCGCTACCACTTAAGCCACATCCTAAGCCCAGCTTTATTTAAAGAAATAGAAACTTGGGCTGGGGCTGTAGCTCAGCACACGTTAGGCACAGCGTTCGATCCTCAGCACCACATATAAATAAATAAATAAAGGTACTGTGTCCATCTACAACTAAAAATAGGGCGGGGGGGAAGAAGAATAAACAAAAACTTTTGTTCTATCCATTCAAAACGGCCCCAAGTTGTGGTGCTTGTGTTTCACTTCCCACAAAAGAAACCAGACCCTTGGGAGTCTCTAGAACTGTGCCAGCTAAGCATGGTGCCCATTGTCAGACCGAAGCACAAAGAAACCAAACTCCTAGCTGCTGGTTCCACCAACAGAACTCAGGAGCCATGCAAGAGGTTTCCACCAGCCAGAAGAGATTGAGGCAGATGATGAGAAATGGTGACAACTGCGACAACACTTCAAGCACATTCTAACCCACCAAGTTATAGACCCTGATTATTCAGTCTAAAAAATGTTGGGTTGGGGTTGTGGCTCAGTGGTAGAGTGCTCACCTAGCATGCGTGAGGTCCTGGGTTCAATCCTCAACACCACATACAAATTAATAAACAAAATAAAGGTATTGTATACAACAAAAAAAATAAATGTTAAAAAAAATGTTGGGGGGCTGGAGTTGTGGCTCAGTGGTACAGTGCTCGCCTAGCATGCATGAGGCACTGGTTCAATCCTCAGCACCACATAAATGTAAAATAAAGATATTGTGTCCACCTAAAWAAACTTAAAAAAAATAAATATTAAAAAAATATGTTGGGGTCGGGGGCTTGCTGGAGAATAAATACCATTGAACTTACTGAGAACAAGCAAAGGAAGGAGCTGCCTGTCTAGCCTGCCTGTCCCAGGTGAGGGCAGCACTGGGTTATGGGAGGGTAGCACCAGCCAGCTCCTGACAGCCCGCTAGCAAAAGGACAGAATGGTGGAGCCAGAGGGCACCCATGCCTTGCTCCAYAGTAAGGGAGCACCAGCAGTCATCGTCAAAGTACAAGGACTCACAGACATCACAGCCAGCCACACACCCACCAGAGGAAAAAGACAGAACATGCCTCAGCAGCCAGGGGCGCAGCCAGTAACATCCAGCCTGTGAGAAGTTTGGCAGGGCCAAAGTGGTCAGGGAAGATGAAGGAACACCTCACAGAAGAATCTCATCAACCCAGCAGCAGCACATGAGGATCTCCACAACAGTCAGATCCCAACGATGCATTTAAAATGCTCCACCCAAAGACAACTGAATTAGAACACCAATTGAACATTTGATGATACCAAGGAATAATGTTAATTTCTATAGATGTGGAAACTCTTGAGAACTCAAAGCACGTTTGATGGATGCACTTACTGAAATATTTGGAAATACCCCCAAAACCTGGGGGTGAGGCCCAGATGCAACCAACTAGCACAACACAACTACTGGGCTGGGGAGGGGCAGGTACATGATCCTGCTTGCTTTGCACAGGCTGGACAGGTATCAGGAGCAGTCGGGGCTCATAGCCAAGGACAGCCACGGGTGCACAAGGAATTAAAGGAGTACTGTACAAGTCCAGTACAGAAGATATTAGTGCACACACCACTGTCCTCAGGACCCAGCAGATGCCACGGAGACAGCAGAGACAGACAGCGCCCAGACAGAGTCTAGGCATAACCCCGGGGGATCTAGACTCCAGGACTCCAGGAAAGGAGACCCCAGGGAACCAGATACTACATCCAGCCCTCCACCACCATCATCATGTACAACAGCAAGTCAGACCTGACTGGTCCCAACAGTATGAGCTCTCAGGCCAAAGTCCCCCGTCTCCTTCAGCAATGGCAAGATGAGGCAATCATCCCTTGACTACAGGGCTCTGCGCATTAGCATGACACTAAGCTTCAAAGTCCATTTATCAGCTGATTTCTTGGGAGAAAAAAAAATAACCAGAGCTCTATCAATAGCCTAACTTCTTATTTCAGGAAAGCCTAAAGCACACAGGTTTCCACAGAGTCCTGCTGATTACTGGACAGTCATCTAATCAGAACCCACACTGGCCATTCATTTCTTGAGATTCCCTAGAATTACCAACACAAAGCTGCTAGCAGTGTTCATTCTGACACCCAAACCAAATACTCTTTAAACAATAACTAGCAGTAGGTCCTTTAGTTACCATATTAAATGATCAAGGATGAATCAAAGTGTATGCTTTTAAGGGTCTATTTTAACTACACTTTCTTCATGCTGTAGAGGATAGAACAATTTCCACATATCTGATGATTTGGGTTTCTAATTTTCCAAAGCCAAAACACTCCAATCAGAC